GGGGGGGGGGGGGAGAGCTTTTTGTCAAAATGGGCGTGGTAACTGAGGAGGAAAAAAGCTCAGAGATGCTATTTTGCCCAAGCTCCTAGGATGAAGGGGCACTCTTGCTGCCTGCAGGTAGGTTTAAGAGGCCAGTTGACGGTAGGACTAAAGTGGCTGAGGAGCTAGCTGGCTGAGTGCATCCACCTTGGCAGTAAGCGCCTGGGTGGCATAGGGAGCAGCCGTGGAGAGACGGTGGCTGGAGAAAGATGCAGTGGGTGAGATGGGCCAGCGAGTGTGGGGGAAGGCTGTGGTGAGGGCAGGGAGCCAGTGAGGAGCCTGGGGTGGGCCGGCTGGCGCGAGGCAGTTAAGAGGCTGCAGCGGCTGACTGGTTATGCTGAGTGAGAGGCTTGTCGCCACCACAGAGCTCCAGGACAGGGAAGGAAAGAGAGAGCCCTCTTGAGGTCATAGCAACAGAGTCTGAGTTAAACATTCATCATCCGCCTTAGGGCCGGCCCCAGCTGAGAGAGCCCTCTTTGAGAGTGTACCCCGTGCTACCTGGGAAACCAGTGGAAACCCTGAACTTGATAAAAAAGGGGTCTTAGTCCACTGTGGGCAAGTGGAAGCCTGACCCTGGAACGTTGTGGACGGGAAAGACAGGCCACACACTTTCCCATCCACTTCCAACAAATCCTGGGGTATTCTTCCTCCCTGGGGTCCTTCACTTACATGTTCTTTGGGGCAAACGCGGGCTGGGCCATTTGGTATCCGTCCTTCACCAGTTTATAGAACTTGCTGTTCACCAGGATGCCAGGGTAGGGGTTCAGCCCTGCAAAGGACAAGATCATGGAAAAGACCATATTCAGTGCTCACCGCCACCTTCCCCCACACATCTTGGCAGGGCTGGGTGTGAAGGGTCCCAGCTGGACTGCGATAATAGGACAGCAGCTCCCCTTAACAAGTGTTTACTATATGCCGGGCACTGCAGACGGCTTAGGCTTTTAGGACGTTGAAAGTCTTCACCCAGGCCTCATCACACCCACAACATTCCAGCACAGGCTTTGGAATTAGAGATTGGTAGAGGAGTACATTGAAGGGCTTAGCCCAGCTTCCTGCGCCTAGTGCTCCAGAAATGGGAGCTGTATCTTCAAGGACATGCATGTTTCAGAGAGTGAGGGCAAACAGCATTCTAGGAAACAGCAACTGCACAAGCAGGCAGGTGAGGAAACAGCCTGGAGGGAGTGCCTGTCGAGGTGGAGGGTGTGCCCCGCCCACTCTGGAGCTGCAACGCTTGCTTTGAAGATACTTCTCGCCCATCCCTGCGCTCTTAGCAGCCCTTGCTCTGCCCTGACCACCAAGTGTCCTGGACTAGCATCCTCCACGAGGTGTAGGACACCGCGGGTAACCAAGCACCAGTCAGCCCCACGCTGAGCCTGCGCTGCGCTGCGCCAGTGGCTTACCGAGTGAGAAGATCTCCCAGAGGAGGATGCCGTAGGACCAGACGTCGCTCTGAACTGTGTAGACGCAGTCGAAGATGCTCTCTGGGGCCATCCACTTGACGGGCAGGCGGGCCTGGCACAGCAGACCCCAGTCACCTTGCACCCTGGGTCACCACCCCTCCCCAGCCTGGCCCAGCCCTCCCAGCACTCACGTTGCCCTTGACGATGTAGTTGGAGTCATTCATGATGTCCCTAGCCAGACCAAAGTCCCCAATCTTGGCCACATGGCCACTGGTCAGCAGCACGTTTCTGGCTGCCACGTCCCGGTGGATGCACTGAGGGAAAGCACTGTAGGGTTAGTCTTGACCCCTCCCCTACCTGAGCCCAAGGTGCAGGAGGAACAGCCAGGACCCCAGAAGGCTTGGGGTCCTCCTCGAGGAAGTGGGCATCAGTTTTGGTCCTGTACCCTGGATCCTGTCCCTACCTTCTACCAAGACCCAGGTCTAGGAAAATTTAATGTGGGCATGCAGTCAGTGTTGAGAAACCACCATGACTCTGGTCCTGTGGCCCTCCGTGGCAGGAGCTGCCTCAGAGCTAGGTGGTCTGCACAGGCCCAGGAGCAGTGAGCCCTGGGGCTCCTAACAGGAGCAGGAGCTGCCACCCTCAGGGCCCTGCCATTCCAGGCCCTTCCCTAAACATCTGCACACACTGTAACCCAATTCCACCTTCATGCCATTCTACGATTGTGCCCGTTTCTGTAGGTGTAGAAACCTAGGCTCAGAGAGGTTCAGCA